TCACATCCCGGGGCCCCCAGGGGAGGCTCCTCCCTCCTCTCCCAGCTCCCAGGGTGCAGGGGAGGCTCCTTCCTCCTCTCGCAGCTCCCGGGGACCCCAGGGGAGGCTCCTTCCTCCTCTCCCAAGGACCCCAGGGGAGGCTCCCTCCTCCTCTCCCGGCTCCCAGGGGAGGCTCCTTCCTCCTCTCCCAGAAGGGGGCCCCAGGCATCCCTTGGCTTGTGGCCGCATCACTCCAGTCTCTCCACCATCTTCCCGTGGCTCCTGTCTGTGCGTCTTACTCTGTCTCTTATGAGGCCCCTGATCATTGCAGGTAGGGCCCCCCCACTCATGTTAATTCAGGACCTCTGGAAACGCCCTTACTCCTAATAAGGTCTTGCAAGTAGCAGGGATTAGGCTATGGCCACATTGGGAGGCCACTTGTGTTACTTTTTTTTTTTTTTTTTTTTTGAGAGAGAGATTTTCACTGTAGGGCGCATGCACTCACCAGACAGACAGACAGAGACACAGAGACAGAAAGCGAGAAATCAACCCCCAGGGGGGATGGCCACGCCGCAATCCCTTCTCCATTCTCCTCTCGGGATCTTGGGCACGCACGCACACGTGCCCGGCGTTTATTTTTGTTTTGAGTTAGGGCTTGTGCACTAGCTGGAGAGGCAGACAGTGAGAGGCAGAGTAAGAAATCGCCCCCAGGAGGGATGGCCATGGCACAACCTCTTTTTCTCCAAGTCTCCTCCCAGGATTGTGGACATGCACGCACACACGTACCTGCTGCAGTTTTCAGGTCACCGTGTCTGGGACTCGAACACGGGCTGCCACGTGCTATTCCGGCGAAGTAACCACTATGCTGTCTGCTCGCCCTGGGGACCACGGTTTAACCCACCACCCCCTCGCTTGTCACCAGGGTGACTGATCAGGAAGGTCCCAAAAGAGCAGCGGTCTCCGCCTTCAGAGCCCTTCTCGCTGGCATGGCGCTTAGTGGGGACCAAGTTGGAGCTCCCAAGTTCCCACGTGGGAGCCCTTGCAGGAGCTCAGGGTGACCGTGATTGGAGACGGGGTCTTTGTGGGAGTGATGGAGCTGACAAAGGTGACATGAGGTCACCACGGTGGCCCTGACCAGTAGGACGGGTCCTTAAGGGGAAAGGACACAGAGGCACACAGGGGATGGCCACGTGAGAACACAGGGAGGAGACGGCGTCTCCACGCAGAGGTGAGAGGGCTCCGGGGCAGCCAGCCCTGCCTCCCCTGGACCTCAGGCCCCAGCCTGCAGGATGGGAGGACAGTGTCTGTGTCTAAGCCCCGGCTGCAGGGCTGTCCCCGTGTGGGCCCCGTATGTGAGCTCCCACTGCAGTGTGCAGGCAGGCTCCGGCTCCGGTGCTGCGGTCACAGCTGCCGCGGTGGAAGACCAGGACCTGGGCGATCATGGGCAGCCAGCCTTCTGCAGCCCTGCCGGCTCCCGGCTCCCAGCTCTGCAGCCCTGCCTCGCCCCCCTCTAGCGCTGGCACAGTGTCTCCCCGGGGCCTGTGCAGCCGTGCTATCACCGTACTATCACCGTACTATCACTGTCCCAGACCCTGACTGTGGCTCAGGTTTCAGGGCCGGCCCTGGAACCCCACTGTGAGGATCGAGGTGGGAGCAGGGACCGTCCCAGTGCTCACAGCCTGCCCCTCCTTCACAGCCATCTCCACCAAGATGATCGACAGGATCTTCTCGGGAGCCGTCACGCGGTATGTGCAGCTGGGCTCCCCGCGGTGGCCCGTTCCCATGGGCTCAGCTGCCGCCCTGCCCAAGTGTCCATGTCCGTCTCATTCCCTGCATGACGTGACCTGCCGTCTGCAACCATGTGCTCAGGTCACGGAAGACCCTAAATGACCTTGGGGATCGCAAGGGAGGGGACACGCCCTGTGGGGAGAGGGCACGAGGCTGGGCCCACACTGGGTGCTGCTCAGAGCCTGACACGAGCCCATCAGCCTCTCGGGCCCTCAGATAGGAGCACGTGGGCCAGCCGGGCCCCGACGTGTCCCTCTGACGTGTGCCCTGTCCCACCTGCCCGACACAGAGGCAGACGGGTGCAGAAGGAGGGGAAGATGAGCTATGCGGACTTCGTGTGGTTCCTGATCTCAGAGGAGGACAAGAAGACCCCCACCAGGTGGGGTGGGCACTGCCTGCCAGGGCGGGTGGGAGGGGGGCATGCACTTGTACTTGGCCCACGGGGCCCCAGGAGGGTCAGTCCAGGCAGGTCGGTCCCAGGACGAGCAGGTCTGTCCCAAGATGGGCAGGTCACTCAGTGGGTTCACTCCCAGGCAGATCTGAGTGCAGTCAGCCCCGGGCGGGGTCACGCCCAAATATGGTCAGCCCAGGTGGAGTCACTCCCAGGTAGGGTCTGTCCAGGTGCGGTCACTCCCAGGCGGGCCACTCTCCAGGCAGGCTCTGTCCCCATGGGGGTGGGTGCCATGGGCCCTCCCTGAGCCCGGGCCGTGGCTGTGCACAGCATCGAGTACTGGTTCCGCTGCATGGACCTGGATGGGGACGGGGCGCTGTCCATGTTCGAGCTGGAATACTTCTACGAGGAGCAGTGCCGGCGCCTGGACAGCCTGGCCATCGAGGCCCTGCCTTTCCAGGACTGCCTCTGCCAGATGCTGGATCTGGTCAAGCCCCAGAGCGAAGGTGACCACACAGCCAGGGGCCGTCCGGGTGAGGGGGTGTGGGGCGGGGCAGGGAGGGAGCCAGGGGAGGCCCTGGCTGGGGAGGGCTATCTCCAATCAGGGCTGTGCATGGTGGGCGGGGCGCCCTAGGGGACATGACTCCCAAGGATCGGGACACTGGCAGGGCTGTCCCCACTGAGTTCCTGAGCAGGGGCTGTCGGGGTGAGGGGGCGTGGATGTCTTCCCCGTGTGTGGGTTGCTCCCTCACGGTGGGTGTCTTCCCCGTGTGTCTGTGCACAGGTCGCTCCCTCACAGTGGGTGTCTTCCCCATGTGTCTGTGTCGCTCCCTCACCGTAGGTGTCTTCCCTGTGTGTGGGTCACTCCCTCACGGTGGGTGTCTTCCCCGTGTGTCTGTGCACAGGTCGCTCCCTCACAGTGGGTGTCTTCCCCATGTGTCTGTGTCGCTCCCTCACCGTAGGTGTCTTCCCTGTGTGTGGGTCACTCCCTCACGGTGGGTGTCTTCCCTGTGTGTGTGTGTGTGTGTGTGTCACTCCCTCACAGTGGGGGTCTTCCCTGTGTGTGTGTGTGTGTCACTCCCTCACGGTGGGTGTCTTCCCTGTGTGTGTGTGTGTGTCACTCCCTCACAGTGGGTGTCTTCCCTGTGTGTCTGTGTTGCTCCCTCACGGTAGGTGACCACACAGTCAGGGGCCGTCCGGGGTGAGGGGGTGTCGGGGCGGGGCAGGGAGGGAGCCAGGGGAGGCCCTGGCTGGAGAGGGCTATCTCCAATCAGAGCTGTGCATGGTGGGCAGGGCACCCTAGGGGATATGACTCCCAAGGATGGGGACACTGGCAAGGCTGTCCCCACCGAGTTCCTGAGCAGGGGCTGTCAGGGGGTGTGTGTGTGTGTGTCGCTCCCTCACTGTGGGTGTCTTCCCCATGTGTATGTGGGTTGCTCCCTCACAGTAGGTGTCTTCCCTGTGTGTGGGTCACTCCCTCACGGTGGGTGTCTTCCCCGTGTGTGTGTGTGGGTCGCTCCCTCACAGTGGGTGTCTTCCCTGTGTCTATGTTGCTCTCTCACGGTGGGTGTCCTCCCCATGTCTGGGTTGCTCCCTCACGGTGGGTGTCCTCCCCATGTGCGTGTCTTCCCTGAGTGACTATGCATGTGCGTGGCTGCACCGTGGGTGTCTTCCCCATGTGTGTCTGTGTTGCTCCCTCATGGTGGGTGTCTCCCCCGTGTGTGTCTGTGGGTCACTCCCTCACGGTGGTTGTCCTCCCCATGTGTGTGTCGCTCCCTCACGGTGGGTGTCTTCCCCATGTGTGGCTGTGTTGCTCCCTCCTGGTGAATGCGTCTGATGTGCATAGCGAAGTCCTGGCACAAAGCTCAATAAATGTTATTTATCCGTATTACTGCTCTGCTATTTATAAGATGCTCAAATTTATTTTTGCTTATGTTTATTCTGTATAGTTAAATAGTTCAAATAAATAAAACTTGGGCAAATAATATGTCTCCATTGAAAAATTATTAGTAATCAAGTGACTGTAAAGGTAAAAATACTTAATTAAAGTGGATGATATGTAAATTTTGAATTTACATATTGCAAATTAGATGACTGAAACTAAAATAATTTTCTTAAATGAAAACCTCAGAATATCAGTCAGTTTAGGCTATTTAAGGTATCAACTGGGCATATATATATATATGTATGGATGTGTGTGTGTGTGTGTGTGTGTGTGTGTGTCACTCCCTCACAGTGGGTGTCTTCCCTGTGTGTCTGTGTTGCTCCCTCACGGTGGGTGTCTTCCCCATGTCTGGGTCGCTCCCTCACGGTGGGTGTCCTCCCCGTGTGCGTGTCTTCCCTGAGTGACTATGCATGTGCGTGGCTGCACCGTGGTGCTGGGGTGCTCGGGCCCTGCTCTCTCTGATCCTAGAGTGCCCCCTGGTGGCCCTTGGGCCTCTTTGCTCCCCCACATCTGGAAGCACACCCTGTGTTGGTCTCTCTGGTCGGGCCGTGGGGACATGCATGCGGTCCTCGGTGCGTGTCGTCTGCACATGCACGGTGGCCAGGCTCACTCCGTGGAACCCACAGGGAAGATCACGCTGCATGACCTGAAGCGCTGCAAGCTCGCCAACGTCTTCTTCGACACCTTCTTCAACATCGAGAAGTACCTTGACCACGAGCAGAAAGAGCAGGTCTCCCTGCTCCGGGTGAGTGCGGCTGGCCGGGGGCCACCTCCTCCTGCCCCGGGGTGAGTGCGCCACCTATAACACACACCTGTAACACGCCCGCCCCCCAGGAGAGCGAGAGTGACGGCCCCGAACTCTCAGACTGGGAGAAGTACGCCGCGGAGGAGTACGACATCCTGGTGGCCGAGGAGGCCGTGGGGGAGCCCTGGGAGGACGGGTGAGTCTCAGGAGAGGGAATGAGGCCGTGCAGGGGGAGAGGCCGTGGACGGGGAGAGGCCACAGGGAAGGGGTGGGAGGATGTGACTGCTGGTGGGGACGGGGTGGGGCAGTGGGGACAGGGGAGGCCATGGGGGAGCCCTGGGAGGACGGGTGAGTCTCAGGGCCTCAGCTGGAGGACAGGGAATGAGGTGGTGGAGGGGGAGAGACCACAGGGAAGGGTGGGAGGATGTGAGTGCTGGTGGGGACAGGGTGGGGCAGTGGGGACAGGGGAGGCCGTGGGAAAGCCCTGGGAAGGTGGTGAGTGTCCAGGGACAAGGGACAGGGGAGGCCATGGGGAAGCCCCGGGAGGACATGACTGCCGGGGGACAGGGCAGTGGGGACAGAGCAGGCCATCAGAGAGCCCTTTGGGAAGATGTTCAGTGTCCAGGGACAAGGGACAGGGAGGCCGTGGGGGAAGGATGGTGTCCAGTAGGCACGGGCAGCAAGGCTCATGGGGCCACCTTGGAACACAGACGCCGCAGACTGGGCATCAGGTGGGGCCTGTTCACACCTGACCTGGCCTGCTCTGGGCCTCAGAAGCCACTTTGGGCTCTGTCTTCCCGAGTTCCCTATAGGGCGTGTGCACTGGCTGGAGTGTGCACACTCCCAGGGTGCACGGCCACTCTGTAACCCCTTCCTCCTCTTCCTGGGATACAGGGCACACACGTACACATACTGTGCGTGTTTGTGTGTGTGTTTATTTTGTTTTTAGAAGTTTTTGTGCCTTAGGGCACATGCATGTGAGAGAGAGAGAGTTAGGAAGACGGAAAGCGAGAAATCTCACCAGGGAGATGGCCACGCAGCAACCCCTACTCCATTCTCCTCTTGGGATCCTGGGCACGCATGCACACACGCCTGACATGATTTTTAAGCTGCTGGGTCGAGCATCCGAACCACAGTTGGCCATGTGGGAGCTCGGTGTGTAGCCAGGCACCAGCTGCTGGCCCCGCACCCTGTCACGTGAGCTTCCGTCCAGCTCTGAGCTGGGCTTGGGCAGGCCATCTGCTGTGACGAAGCCCCACCAGGGGGCTTCAGGGAGGACGCTTCACCCCGCTTCTACCAGCGGAGAGGTGCAGATGGCGGGGTTGTGCCTGCACCCTGGTGGCCTCAGGGCAGGGGCTGTCCCCAGGCTGTCTGGATGTCTCCGTGCCCCAATGGCATAATGGTTATGTCACTGGACTCACAGGTAGTCGACCACAGTTCAAGTCCCGGACGTGGCGGCTTAAAACTCATGCCAGGCACGTGCGTGTACATGTCCAAGATGCCTAAAGGACAATGGAGGAGAAGGGATTGTCGCGTGGCCATCCTCCCTGGGGGGTGACTTCTCGTTCTGTCTCTCTGGCGAGTCCACGTGCCCTATGGCAAAAATCTCTAGAAACAAAAAGATGGGACCAGCAGTTGGCGTAATGGCTACGTGGCTGGACTCCCATGTAGTCGACTGCAGTTTGAGTCCCGGACCCGGCGGCTTAAACTCACGCCGGGCGCATGTGCATCTGTGCCCAAGATCCTGAGAGGAGACTAGAGAAGGGACTGTCGCGTGGCCATCCCCCGTGGGGTTGATTTCTCACTCTCTGTCTCTCTGGTGAGCGCACATGCCCTATAGCAAACCCTCTCAAAAAAAGTGAGACCGAGAGGTGCCATATCACTCTGGCCCAGGGTGTGGGGTCCCCCAGGAAAAGTGAAAACGGGAAGTGCCAGGTCGCTCTGCTCCAGGACGCAGGCCCCCAGGTGGCTGCCGTGTCGGGGACCCGCACGGTCTCCTCACCGCATCGCCCCGTGCAGGTTCGACGCCGAGCTGAGCCCTGTGGAACAGAAGCTGAGCGCGCTGCGGTCCCCGCTGGCCCAGAGGTCCGCCCTGGGGGACGTGGACCTGTACGAGTTTGCGTGCGGGGAGGACGACCTGCAGCCGCTGTGAGGCCCGGAGCCCGTGCGCAGCCATGTAGACTGCTCCCCCGGACGTGGGCCCACTATGCACGGCGCTGTGAGGGCAGACTGCCTTGTACGATGGCCCCTATTTATTCACACGGAGCTGCCGAGGGTGCTGCCCGCCCTCCAGGCCCAGGGCTGCCCAGGCGCGCATGGTCTCATGCCCACGGCCCGCCCGCCCTGGGCCTTGGGAGTCCGGCGCCCACCGACCTCGCCCACCGACCTCGCGCCGGCCGGGCTCAGCAGCGGGCTGGCTCCTCGGGAGAGCCAGGTGGTGTCGGTGCCGTCCGTGACATGGCGTCGCCCAGGAGCGGGTGCATGCCGTCCGCCTGAGGCTGGGGGGCGGGGAAATTTCACAGGGACCCCCCCCCGCACAGGCAGGCAGCGGGGCTCCTCCGTGACCCCACGGTCAGGCTCCGCCCGGGTACAGCCCGAGAGGTACGTGTTGGTGCGGACGGTGCAGCGGCCTCCTATGCGACCACGTTTGTATTTTTGAATAAAGAATTTAAGGGTTTTCAGTGCCGGGCCAGGCTCCTTGGCAGCAGGACACGGTCACGGTCCGCCCCGGGTGACCCGGGAAAGGGCTCAGGACAGGACCGGACATGCACAGCCACGGGCCAGGCTGGGTGCCCCACTGTCCACCTGCGGACACTGCAGACACTCGGGGAGAATCCCGAGGATGGCAGTGCCGCTCTGGGAATGGACAGGAAGGGTCCCCCCAGCACCTGCCCACCCCCCGCCGCGCCCCCGCCACGCCAGAGGGCCACACCAGGTGCCTGGAAACGGGCTGAGGGCACACGCCCAGCTGCCTCGGGGCGGCAGATGCAGTGAAGACCGGAGCACCCGGGACTGGGCTTGGTGGCCCTGCCCTTACTGACTGGGACCCACAGCCGTCGCAGTGACCGCGAGCTGACCCCCTCACCCCCACCCCCCCGAGTCAGGAGGCTAGGATGTCACGGACCCCAACCTGGGGTTGGGACCGCACACGGTTGAGCCCTGCCCCCACGCTGGCGCTGTTCTCTGTCCAATGCCCCAGTGCCCCGGTCCCTCCCCATGTCCCCAGGGGCCCACCCTCCTCACCTGGACCGGGACGTGCCAACATCGGTGTCTGGGTCCTCAGAGGACAGGAGGGCTGCAGAGACGTCCCAGGGGACACAGAGACCCCCCAGCTGCCTCCCCCTGGCGGTGTCCTCCCCTGGGGGGCTCGGTCCTCACCCCAGACACCAGTGGTCCCGATGTGCTGCACCCAGGTGGCTGCGACCCCACAGCCTGCCTCCCCCTGGCGGTGTCCTCCCTGGGGGCTCGGTCCCCACCCCGCACCCCAGAGACCAGTGGTCCCGATGTGCTGCACCCAGATGGCTGCGACCCCACAGCCTGCCTTGCCCGCTGTCCCCCACGTCCCACATGCCAGTGTCTGCAGAGCGAGGTCTGAGGATGTGCGTCACCCACAGACTCGCCGAGCCGCTGCCCACCCGACTGCCACCACTGGGCCTGCAGTTCCCGCTGCCCCTGTGACCCCACAGAGGCTGGCCTGGCCCCATGCGGCCATGGGGGGACCGGGACACCCATGGGAGCCGGGCTCAGCGGGAAGGCCAGGGAGGACGGCAGGCAAGGACGAGGCAGAGACCAGGAGTGGCGCATCCCAGGTGGGGACGCTTCCGTGCATGGTGACCGAGCAACAGCAGCCTTTGTTAGCATGATACCGCAGGGGCTGGCAGGTGGTGTGGGGGCTCGCCGCTGCACTCCCACATGGCCAGCCACAGTTCAAGTCTCGGTCCTGGCAGCTTGCTCTCTCTCAGTGCCCTATAGCGAATGTAAAAATAATAATCATCGTTAAAAAAAAAATAAAAAAGATGTGACCGCATTCGGGCATCACCAATAACCGTGACGGGAGAACCCTCACATGGGCCAGGTTCTGGTCAACAGGAAGTCCCTGAGGCTGCCCAAATCCCCAGGGGAGAGAGAAGGGATTTCGGCATGGCCGTGCTTCCGGGGGTGATCGCTCACTTTGCCATTTTCTCTCTCTGGCAAAACTTCCCTACAGCAAATTTTCTTTTTTAAATTAAAAAAAAAAAAAAAAAAATCTGGAAAGTGAGGACCACTGCCTTATTCAAAAGTTAGGCTTGGGGGCCGGCAGGTGGCCTGCTGGTTGGCAGGCTGGACTCCCACGGGCTCCCCTCCCGCTTTCCGAGCATCGCCCAGCAGGAGGGCATGGCCAGCACACTCCGACCCCCAAGTGGGACCCTGGTGCAGCTCAGCCCTCAGCGCCGTCCCACCCCTGGAAGAGCTGGAGCCCCGGCACCGGCCCAGGGTACCAGGGGTGCCAAGCTCCGGTGCAGCAAGTGGGACCCCTATGGAGGGCCTGGGCCCCAGGGCTGCACTAGGAAGCTGGGGGTGGGCCTCAGCGTTGCATCAGGGACCCCTGGGGGCTCAGACCTCCGGGCTGTGTTAGGGACCTCAGGGTGCAGGCTCAGGCCCCAGCACTGTTGTAGGGACCCCCCAGGAATAAGGCTGGACCGTGGCGGGGAGTCCAGGTCTGCAATACCGCATTAAGGACCCAGAGGGGACTCAAAGCCCAAACGTATCAGGGACCCGACGGGGGACGGACCCCAGTGCTGTATTAAGGACCAGAGTTCGGGGCAGGGCCCAACGCTGTATCAGGGAACCGGGGATGGGCCCGGACCCCAACGCTCCATCAGGGACGGTGGGGAGCTAGGGCCCGGTTGCTGTACCAGGGACCCCCGGTCAGGGCACCCTACCTGGCGCGGAGTCTCCGCGGAGCAGCAGGCACCAGGCGTCAGCGCTCCTCAGACTCTGCAGGTCTTTGGCAGAAACGCGTCAGTCACGGGCACGTGACTCGGGACGGCCAATGAGAATTCGCACAGGAGCCCAGCCCCTTCCGCACGCCAATCACGAGCACGTGACTCAGGGCGGCCAATGGGAGTCCGGCCCCTACCGCACGCCAATCACGCGCACGTGACTCATGGCGGCCAATGGCAGCACGCACCCGAACCCGCCCCACGCCGACCCCGAAG